TTCCTTTCCTTTCCTTTCCTTTCCTTTCCTTTCCTTTCCTTTCCTTTTCTTTTAAGACAGAATCTCTCTATATTGCCTTAGCTGTTCTAGAACTTGCTTCAAATTCACAGAGATCTGCCTCAGCCTCCCTAGTGCTGGGATTAAAGGTGTGCAGCACCACACCCTATCCAGTAGACATTTCTTACAGATTGTCTACTCTGTGGAACCTGAGATCCTGCCAGTGCACTGTGCACTTCGGGTACTTTGAACCACAGATACCCTTTTGCCTGAAATCTTCGCAAAAGAATTTTGAGGGATATAACCTATGAGGAATATCCCCTCTGCAAGCACTCCATGCAGAGGCGACTTGTGGCTCACCTTCCTTGGGAGGTGGGTAGGGTTGGTGACTGGAGGGGGGTCCTGAGCAGCACACATCAAGATGATGGAAGTCATGAATCACAGACTGAGCAGCTGCTGTAGGCTGGAGAAGACTGGGGAGCTGTGACAGCGGTCCGGGTGTGCGTGGACTAGACAATGAAGCAGAAAACAGGATGTGGAAAAACCAGTGCAATGCAAACCTAGTGTCTGGAATTTAGACGTGCTATGTCAGTGGCTGTGTCTTAGTGTGACAGCTGTGTCATGATGATGCAAGGAATAACAGCGGGGCAGAGAAGAGTTGGGAGGAACTCTCCGTAGGGGATTTGTGACCTTTTTGTAAGTCTAAAATTGTTTCCTTTTTTATTTTTTTTACATGTTGTTATGTACGTGTGTGTGTGTGTGTGTGTGTGTGTGTGTGTGTGTGTGTGTGTGTACAGGTGTATGGATGCAAAGGTAGATGTGTGGAGGTCATAGAACAACTTTCTGGAGTCCGTACTCTCTACCATGGGATCTGGAGATCAAACTTAGGTTGTCTGGTTTGTGTTGCAAACATCTGTAGCTGCTGAGCCATCTTGCTGGCCCTTGGGGTTGTTTGTTTGTTTGTTTGTTTGTTTTCTTTTTTGCAACAGTCTCTGTAGCTCAGGCTGACCTGGAAGTCATGGCATTCTTTCTACCTGCCTTGGGCCTTACTCATCTGCTAATGTCTCTTTGGAAAAGTCCATCATGGGGTTGAAAAGATGGTGGTTCCATAGATAAGAGCTCAGAGTGCTCTTCAGGGGACTCTAGTTTGGTTCCCAGCTCCCTTGTTGGGCTGTATGACCACCCTGTGACTCTAGCTCTCGTGGTTCTGGCACCCTCTTTTGGCTTCCACAGGCACCTGCACTCTCATGCAAAGACACATACAAACACACTCACATATACATAATTTAAATTTTTAAAAATATTTTCAAAAGGTTCCTTGTCCCATCTAGTACTTGGAAATATTTATTCATGCGTCACCTCACATTATTGTCAGTCACTTGAAATGTTAGCAGGGCTGGAGAAGTGGCTTAGCGGTTAAGGACACTGACTGCTTGCTCTTCCACAGGACCAGCTGGGGTTCAAGTCCCAGCACCCACATTGGTGACCTATGATCCCAGTCCCAGGGGATCCATCATCTTCTTCTAACCTTCATGGGCACAGGATGCATACATGTGGAACACAGACATACATGCAGGCAAAACATCCATCACATAAAAAAAATCCTAGAATAATCGGCCCACCCAATTTTGTAGATCTTTTAAAAGTTGCTACACCAGATTATTCAGTATTTTAAAGGTTATATTTCTTACTATCACTACCTAGCTCATCAAAGAAGTATTTCCTGAGGGACTGAGGATGTGGCTTGGTAGTTAAATGCCTGTTGTGAAATTCGACAGCCCTGAGTTTGGATCTCCAGCACCCATGCAAAAAGCTGGGCATGGCAGCCAGGGGGCTGTAACAGCAGACAGGCCATAGTCTAACCAGTTGGTGAGGTTCAGGCTCAGTGAGAAGCCTTACAGTAAGGTGGAGACCATCAGGGAAGAAGATACACTTGGTCTTCTTAGGTACCCTCATGGGCATGTGCACACATGCATACACATACGTGTACACAAAGACCTTTACTAAGAAGGTATCGAAATCATGATGATGGATGTGAGTTTTTTAGAATGATAATTTTCTACTGAAATCACAGTTTTTAAATCATTAACATCAAATTCTGCCCATGTTTTTTCTTGACAAAATAAGTCCAGTTTTTGCACTTCCTTGATCATATCTACCAGATACCTATGTCTCAACTACAGTTTGTCATGTAGTCAATCTATCAACTAAAAGTGTTGTTTAATGAAATTAACTTGGCCTGGGAGGATGCATGCTCGGTGGAAAAGCCTTTGCCTAGCATGTATGAGGTCCTGGGTTCCTTCTGTAGCACCACAAAAGGTAAAGTGTGTTGAAGGCAACTCACAACCAAGCCAAGTTCTCTCAGGGCAGCAGTTGTTACTTTAGATTGTGTTATGGTGTATCTCGGGTTGTCAAGTAGGATGTCCGGTGATGCCCACGCAGAGTAACTTGTACTGTTCTAATGAGGACACCCTTAGAGACACCAGCTTTCCCCTCCCACTGTGGGTGTGTGATGGTGCGTAGCAATGACTACTGCTTGTGGCATTCTGGGACAGTGAGCAATGTCTGCACTGTGATCTAGAATCAGCACAGTGGAGAAGGTCAGTAACATTTTAATACTTAGGGAGAAATGGTGATATTGGCCTTATAAGGGTCTTGGCTCTCCCTGGAGATCCATAGAGTCCTCCCTCCACTGAGGGAACTGCTAATGTGTCACAGAAGAGGAGCTGATGGTGCTCAGTGTCACATCCACAGGAAGGAGAGCTAGCTAGGTCCAGGGCAGCCTGTGGACAGTGACATTCCTCAACTCCCTGCGTTAATGACCTAGAAGGCCTTGTCCATTTGGTCGTGGAATCGGCAATGCCGTTAAACATGCTGGAGCATAGACTTTAATAGCTTGCTCCCAGCAAGCTGTAGAAGCAGCTCTGTCTACACAGACATTAGGAACTGACTTCGAATCTCCAGCATCCGTGTGAAAAATGAAGGTACAAGGATTAGGAAAATGTCTCAGCAGATAAAGTGCTTGCCTCCACTCCTCAAGACTGGTGTTCAGATTCTCAAAGTCTGTATAAATGTTGGGCAGGCATGGTAGCCACTGGAGGCAGAGGCAGGAACTGTGGGATAAGCTAGCAGTCTAGACTAGCGAGACTCTCTGAGCACTGGGTTAAGGGGGAGACCTTGCCTCGGTAAAGGGAAGAGTGGTTTCGAGGCCACCTTATATCATCTTCAGGTCTCCACACACATGCATGCACACATACGCAAATGGATACATATAACATACATATGTACACATGCAAATGAAAGATAGAATGCCAGGTACAGCAATGTGTGTACTCAGGAAGGTGGGGACAGGAGGGAGGTTACAGGAGCCTCGCTGGCCAACCAACCTGGTGGTTCACTGGGCTCTGGTTCAGCCAGAGATCCCATCTCAGAAATAATGTGGAGACTGAGGAAGACAACCAGTGTTTGACCTGGGCCTGCACACATGCTCACACACATACGTGCACGCACACATACACACACATGTGTGCATGTGTTGGTGCTGGGCTGGTGATGTATCCCAGTGACAGACACATAGGCTCGTGTTTGCGCCTCACATAGAGAGAAGAAAAGTGTGCAGCTGTGTCTATGTAGCGGCTAAGGAGTCCAGAAAATGACCTTTTCAACGTTGTCTTCTGTCTTTAAAGGTAAATCTCACCTGGCCATTGTGCAGCGAGTCAACAATGAGGGTGAAGGGGACCCATTTTATGAAGTTCTAGGAATTGTCACCTTGGAAGATGTGATCGAAGAAATCATCAAATCTGAAATCTTGGATGAGACAGACCTGTACAGTGAGTACCAGTGTGTCTGTGTGCCTTTGCTGCCACCGTCCTGCTTCATAGACACTTCCCCCCAGTGTTGGGCCTCTCAAGTATAATCACACAGCATTGCCTAGTGCCTTTACCAAACTAGAAGAAAGGGCAGATTCAGTGACATTGAGTGGCAATGTCTCTTCCGTAGGCAGCCTCTCCTGGCCATGAATCCAAGCACATTCAAATGTTGACCTCTGAACTCCACAAATACATGCACAGGTACATATACCCTCCCCCCAACACACAGAGAATATTGTTTTCTTGTCTGTCTAACTGCCTGCTTTTGAAGGGCAGATGGGGGATGGTGAGTATTTAGATCAGGAGGGGGAGGGCCCCGGTGTGAACTTGACCCCTGAGTGTTGGCCCTGCAGCCTGTCTCATTGAGTGCACAGCTGGCTCACTGCACCAGGGAGCCACAGCCTTCACCCTCGGCGTGTTCGTATCACACGCGGCTTTCTTTTATTCATTTGTTTATTTTGTGTATGGGTGTTTTGCCTGCATGTATATCTATGCACCACATACATGCAGAATCCAAAAAGGTCATCCAGAAGAGAGCATTAGATCGTCTGGGATTGAAGTTAAGGTGGTTGTGAATGCCATGTAGGAGCTAGGAATTGAACCTGGGTCCTCTGGAAGAGCAACTAGTGCTCTTAACCACTGAGGCATCTCTCCAGCCCCATAAGAGGCTCTTTGAAAAGTTGATCCTGCCAAGGAGGGCCCAGGGCTCCCCGGGCCGGGAAGGATCACCTGGTCTCTGTTCATCATCTCAGCTTTGGAGCAGAGCTCATAGGACATGAGCTGTCAGTCTGCATTCCAGGAATGCCTTGCTCAAAGAGAGCGATTTTATAATCACTTTACTAAGGAACATGACACATTTGAACGTCTCCAAGATTTTTTAGTATCTAACGAAGAAAACCATTTAAATTGTTAAGAGTTATCTTTGAAAAATGTGTCCTGTATATCCGTATAGATTCTTGTCTGGTTTATGCTTTTGACGTTTAGGCTGTCAGAGACATCCTAGTAGAGAATGTCGTTGTTCGTTTATGTTCTTCCCATCCTTTTATGATTCTGTACGATGCATGTGCAGCCTTTATGTGGGTCCTAAGGATCCACCTCAGGTTGCTAAACTTTGGGGGCAAGTGCTTCACCCTCTGGGCCGTGTCACTGGCCCCTTTTCATTCAGATTAAACGTATATGTCTGTTTTCCCTGAGGTAGTCTTTGTCTCTGGGAAGACAATATAAATGCTTATGAAATCTTAGATAATTTTTTAAAATGGAACTATTACTAAATGTTTACTAAGCTCTCATTGAAGGGACTCATTTCATGGAGAAGTGTTAGGTGACATGACCTCTTGGTATGAAACGCTGAATTTGTGGCTTCAGGGTTATTATCAATCTAGGCGAAAGGCCAGCCATGATAACAGCCAGTTGCCATTAAAGAACCATTTCTAAGTGTTGTATTGACTTATGCTTTCTGATTTCAAAATAATTTGAGATAGAAGGGTAAAAGCCCCTAGTCACTGATGTCTTACCCTGGACAGGAGCTGGTGATGTGGGCCTCACAGCAGAGCAAGCGGCTGGGTCCTTGATCTTTGCTGTTTGTTTTCCTGTTTTTATTTTTTATGGAGGCAGGGTGTTGAGACACTTTGATGCTGCAGCCATGGCTGCGTTTGGCCATACAGTTCTCCTTCCTTCTGAGTGCTGGAACTACAGGTGTCCACCATTTCACATCTGGGATCTCGTCATATTGGGTTTTTCTTTTTTGGCATTTTATCCTGAAAAGTGGCTTTGTAAGGAATTCCCTGTAGATCCAGGGTTGCCAAATCGTGGTCCACGAGTATCTGCTGCCTGATTTCATATGGCTTACAAGGCAAGAACAGCTTCTCATGATTTTTAGAGACTGAGAAAAAAAATCAACAGAAGAACACTTGCTTCGTGATATGTAGAAATTAAACAAAAGGTGACATTTCCATCCAGTGTCGTTGTGCTTGTTCATTTACACACAGCTGCTTTTGCTGAGAAGTAGCTTGGAGTCGGCAACAAAAGCCGGAGTCTGAGTACTTCCTCTCTGGCCTTTTCCAGAAGAGGCTGGCTCATTCCTCCGGGATCACCTCTATGTCTGCCTGACCTTGAACACCGACCGGTCTGCGGCAGGAGTGTAGCAGAGGTGATGAGCCACCTTCTTCTTGGGGAATCTTGTTTGCGTGTTTATTTTCTTTCACCTGAGGCCGAGAGGCCCTCTATCTGACAGAGATAACTTCCCTGCCTGTGGTGGGTCTTCCTCGGAGTGCTTTTGGTAGCACTTGGGGCCAGCCTGCTGCTCTGTGATTCTGTATGCTCCTTGTGGGGTTTGTCCTGTCCGCCCAGTCATATCTCCGAGGAGCTCTCTAAAGCAGCTGCAGACCCAGGGGAGGCCATGCTCTCTGTCCATTCTGTGAGACCTCCATGAGGTCCCTGCTCCCTGGAGGGATTCTAGCACCTTTCAGAACAGTGTGTTTGTCTCTTCATCGATAAAGAGCCCTGATTTTGCCTTCTCTTTCCCCATTCCCACCTCAGCCGATAACAGAACTAAAAAGAAAGTGGCCCACCGCGAAAGAAAGCAAGATTTCTCTGCCTTTAAGCAGACGGACAGCGAGATGAAGGTTAAAATATCACCGCAGCTTCTCCTGGCCATGCACCGTTTCCTAGCAACAGGCAAGTGCGCTTATCACAGTATGAGATCTGCAGGCCCTGGAGCCTTCCTCAGCACACTGACTGGGGGGCTGGGGTGGTGGCTGGGAAATGGGGTGACAAGTAATGCCACTTTGTGTTTTGTTTCTTTTTTTTTTTCTGTTCTGTTTTGTTCTCTTTAAATTCTCTCCTCTCCTGTGTTCAGTGTCGGCATGAACCCTCTGAGACATTTGCCAGGGGTGGACCAGTAACTTAAAATTGGTCTGAAAGGTAAGGACGAATGTTAGTGCCACACTGCATGTGTACGGTAGGCCAGCTAAGCCCCACGGCGAGCCAGCTGGCGGAGTAGGCTGACAGTGCAAGCCAGGCATCACCTCATTTGATTGGACAGTTGAGTAATTCTCTCTTCAGCTTGCCTTGGAAGAACAGTTGGACACCAGTGGTAACGCAGGTGCTAAGACTCACAACTAAGAAAACCAGGCACACAGGATTGAATCCTTATTTTTTATGGTTTCAATGAAAGGAAAGATTTACCCAGTTGGGCCTGAACTTCTTGGTGGCTTCTTCAAGTCAGATTGTTAACTTGGGCCCCATCCAGAGGCAAGCGTTCACACGGTTAAAGCCACCAGCCCAGCCAGCACTGACTGCTTTCAAGTGGTCAAGGTTGAAAGACATAAGAGACTGGTTAACCTTCTCAGCCCAGTAAGGAGCTCTGTTAGCCAGGGAAAGCGTGAGTAAAGTCTGGAAACTCCCAGAGGCTTGTAGAAGACATCTGTTTCCAGGACCAGCCAGTGAGCTTTACCTAAGTGCAGTATGTGTATACACGTGCCCTAAAAGGTCATTGGCAATGTGTGTCAGGATGTCACCTACCGTCAGAGACATGGACATGCTCATTGTTCACACTTATGACATGGGAATGTGTCCATGACTTCCTGTTTAGTAGGACCCCCTCCAGACCCCTGTATATCAGAGTATGTGTATGCCAAGACCACACTTGTGGATTTGTGTGTACATGCACAGGGTACATGGGCACATAAACCTCGGCAAAGCACTGGAAAGAAATACTCACCAAATTCCTCTGAATGGCTATCTAAGAAGTCAGCTTACAGACGATTCTTGCTTTCTTTATTTTTCTGTATCTTCCAAATTCCCTGCAATGTACTGTATTACTATGAAAAAGTCACATGTGTGAACCCAGAATTTGTAGCTTATGTATATGGCATCTAATTTAAAAATAAGTTTTGAATATTTTGCTCTTACTATCTTCCTATTCTGGTACTGTTGCTGCTCATTGTGGAAGAACCACACTTAAACTCGGTGTTACATGAAGTCCACATTTACGGCAGCACCCTGGAGTCAGCAGCTTTGAGTTTTCTGTTGTTTTAAATGCAGTAACTGTCTTTGTCAGTGCTGACCACCCACTCTTTCATTGGCAAGTCAGAGTGCATGTTGATGTGTGCACGGCCTTGCTTTTATTCTGAATCTCTCCCTTGGCGATCCCTGGAGTTCCTCAGGAGAGCGGTGTGGGAGAGCAAGATGCCCAGGTCTATGCACCTGTCCTAACCCACCATCTGTGCTTCTAGACTGTGTCTTCCTCCTATGGCTGGTGGTGGCAGTCAGACAGTTGTGGTTTGAGTTAAGGGTATCTTGACCCTCAAGAAGGGGTCTGTCAATCGTCATTTCCATCAATCAGAAATATAGGGCGCCTGTGTGGGGTAGAAACCAAGGACAGTCTGAAAGGAAAGGTTGAGAAGGACCAGACGTGACTATTCCGCTGTTGTAATTTCTCCCAGGTAATCTGACCCCAGTGGCTCACCAAATGGAAGTCTGGTTCACCTGTGTTGTATCTTTCTGCCGTCAAGCATTCTTCTGATCTGAGCACCTTGATTGCTAGCATGGCCTTTGCCCTTCTTTGAAGTGTAATGTCAAGTTGTGTTTGTGTCTATAGAAGTAGAAGCATTTAGCCCATCCCAGATGTCAGAGAAGATCCTCCTAAGGCTGCTAAAGCACCCCAATGTCATCCAGGAACTGAAGTACGACGAGAAGAACAAGAAAGCCCCCGAGTGCTACCTCTACCAGCGGAACAAGCCTGTAGACTACTTCGTCCTCATTCTGCAGGTCAGGACTCACTTGTGCTGCTCACCCTCCAGCATCCGTCTTTGCTCTGCGGCTGACTGGCATGGGCGAGCGGGCTTGCCTTCTTAACTTTGCGTGCATGCAGTGCGTGTGTGGTGTGTGTGTGTGTGCGTGTGGTGTGTGTGTGTGTGTGTGTGTGTGTTTATAAGAGGGCACTAGATCTCTACTTGCATAGCTGGGTGATGGTTCTATTAGGAGGTAGTGTACTCATTTCAAGTCTAATACCAAAGGCACCCACGCTTTGCTGCTGTGCCAAGCCAAGTGACCAGTGTCATTAGTGACTTTTAAGCATTTGGCAATGTGCGTGTTCCTGTCCAGATTTTGGTGGACATTTGAAATGTATTATTTTGGGTTCCTTGGGTTCTCTTGATATCATTTTTTCTTTTGTCCATTCCTCATTAGGACTTGGTCTTTTACGGTGACCAAGACATATCTTGGGCTCTCTTCTGATACCTTAAGTGTCTGTCTTAGTACCACTGTGAACAGAATCCATTTAATGCCTATGTTGCTGGTCACTAGCCAGACTGTTTGGCTAAGAGCTGCTGTAGTAACAATAGTCATCTAAAGTATTGGTAACTAATAGTGACCAATGCCCTGTCACTAATGTAACACAACCCAAATGTGCTAGGGAGGCCATTGTTCCTGGCCCTCTTGGAGCACTTGTGATATCACAGTTGCTTATAGCAGGCACTGCACTTGGCTACCCTGAGTAAAAGCCTAGTTTGGGGAACTTTTATACCTCTTCTGTAGCAAGTCACGTTCTCAGGTAGTCTAGGCTCCTTTTAGTACAAGGATGCTGACTGTGTGAGCCTCCTCCTATTTCATGGTTGCTTCCTGGATGTAGGCTGGAGGCATCAGAAGAGCATATTCAATACTCAGCAGACCCTAGAATTCATGGAAGTTGAGCAAGACTCAGTTATCTCAGTGGATAGAGAGAGTGCTTCCTGCTCTGTAGGTGTTACAAGCTTGAGCAGGCATGTGGCTTTGTCCCTCCCCCCTGAGGCTAGAATTACAGGTGGACCACCACACCCAGCTGGCATTGATCTGGGCATCTAAACTCTGTCTTCAAGGTTGGGTGCCAGTGCTCAGCCTCTGAAGCGTCTCTCAGCCCAGTCTTGGGTTATAAGCATGGACCACTCCATGCAGGTTACATGGTGCTGGGAGCAAACCCCAGGTTTTTTGCATGCTTGGCAAGCACTCTGCCAGCTGACCTGTCTCTTTGTCCATCATTTAATGTTTTTAGTGTAAATCCTATATTAGATGAAGTTCAACGTCTCAAAGTAATGATCTAAGTGAACCTGATTAAAAGACTATTTTGTCATTTATATAACAAAATATAAACTAATATAAATAAAAATAAATCTTCAAGTTTTTTAAAGTAGATTTTTAAAATGTGTTAATGTATTTTAATAAATGAGGTAATAAAAGCCCAGTAAATCACAATGAAATCTGTATTGACTCTGTGTATTTTCAAGAAACATGTATCTGAAAGTAGAAGTGCGGCAGGGGAATAGCTCGGTTGGTAAAGTGCTTGCCTCATCTTCATCCTTGCCCAGAAACTACAGGAAGAGCTGAGCGTGCAGTGGTCGTGTGTAATCCCAGCACTGGGGTGGTGCACACTGGTGAGCTTCTGGGCTCCTTGGCCAACCAACTTAGCCTAATCTGTGAGCCCTAGGCCAATGAAAGACCTCATCTAAAAATAAGGATTGACATAGCGTAAAGAATGCCACCACCTAAGGTTGTCTTCTAGCACACGGCTATGTGCACAACTTTGTGTGCCATGGTAAACATGTAGAGGTCAGAGGTCAACCCTGGGAGTCTGTTCTCTTCTGCCTCGTTGGTTCCAGAATCCAACCATAGTCCTGTGGTGTTGTGGCAGGTGCTTTACCCGCTGTGGCCTCATGACACATAACGTGATGGTAATGTTTTCCACCAACATACCAAGAACAATTGGACAATAATTTAAAATTACATAACCAGTAAGATAAAATTCAGAGTTAGAGATAGTCTAACACAGAAGCCAGAGAACACTCTTTAGGGTGGGTTAGTTTTGCTTTTCTGAGGCAGGGTAGCATGTATTATCAGGCTGACCTGACTTGCTATGTAGGTAAGGATGGCCTCGAACTCCTGATCCTCCTGCCGTTACCGCTTAAGTACTGGGACTATAGACGTGAGCTACCACAGTTTATACATGAGTCATAAAAAACGGTGACTCCACTGTGTCATAATGTACTGTATGGTGAATATAAAAAGATAGGTTTCACAAAACTAGGTAGACCATGATGAAATTAGGAATAAGATACTACATGGTAGTAACTGCGGAGAGCACTGGCCTTCGTGACTAAAGCCCTGGATTTGGTCCTTAAACTGCTTAAGTAAGTGTGGGTGGTATACACTGATAGTCCCTACACTGAGGAAGTCAAGGCAGCATCAGAAGTTCCAGGTCCCCCTCATCTGCATATCGAGTTTGAGGCCAGCCTGAGTGATGTGATGTGAGAGCCTGCCTTTATCATTATTATTATTATTAAATTTTATTTGTTATTCCCCTCCTGGTCTGCTCTCTGACAGTTGCTTATCCTATTCCTCCTCTCCCCTTTGTCCCCCAACGCTGTCTTCAAGAGGATGTCCCCACCCCCTACTCCACCAGGCCTCCCCACTCCCTAAGGCCTCCAAGTCTCTCGAGGGTTCGGTGTGTCTTCTCTCACTTGTATGCACAGTAACTGTAAGTGCTAGACATGTTTTTGTCTTACCGAAAGGCAAGCTGGACTAGATCACTGTCGTCTATACAGTGGATGTGTGTGAATAGGAGAGTCTTACTGGTCCTCCAAGAAGTAACATATCTAAATATCCAAATAAGCTACAGGCCCAGCACAGGGCCGACTGTGAGCAGTCTTACCATGGTAAACAGAAAGCCTGGGCCACACCTTTGCCAGGTGGTTAGTGGACAGGAACTTTCCCTGGAATTACTTTTGCTCATTTCCTATGGAAATTAGTGTCCTTTTCTTCCTCTTCTTCAACTGTCCATCATACTTTTTGAAGTTCTGATATAGATTTAAAAGGCATGTTTGCTCTAAAATGAGTTTTATTCCCTTCTCAGATTAGTATTTAATTCTAACCTCTCCAGTCTTTGGCTGCATTTGAACAACTCTGAATGTGCTTTTGGTGCATGCTGCCATTATTTGACCTGCAGGGGATGTGCCTGAGCTGTCTCTGTGTCTGTGTCTCGCTCTCTCTCTCTCTCTCTCTCTCTCTCTCTCTCTCTCTCTCTCTCTCTCTCTCTCTCTCTCTCTCTCTCTTCTGTTCTCTCCTGCTCAGGGTTTCTCCAACCCTGACGTGCACCTGAATCGCCCTGGATATTGTCAGATGCTCTCAGTTGGTACAGAATCAAGCTTAGCCACTACAATTTGAGTCATACCACTTGGTACGCCAGTATAGTTATAGGCAACCAGATGTTTGAACATATGTATACATTAATATTTGGCCACCATTTTTAAAGTATCCATTTATGCAGTGAACTTGCAGAATCCCAGGCTCCCATGTGTAGCCACCAGCTAGAAAGCCATGGCTAGAAAGCATGCAAGTGCCGCAGTCACACGAGGAACAGACAGGCGGCTCTGAGTGGCGTGGCCAGGAGACACCCCACATTTGTGCTCATGGCACCCACTTGCCCCGGCTTCCTTTCCATTTTCTCTTTCCTCCCCCTTTTATCTTTCAGGAGGTCTCACACAGCCAGGCTGGCCTTGAGCATTCGATACGGTTGAGTATCATTGTAACTCCCTTTGCCTCCTAAGTGCTGGTTTACAGGCACATGCCTGGCTTTATGCAGACTCCACTCCGGCCTTTGAATATGCTAGCACCTTACCAACTGAGCTACGGCCCCAGCCTGCCGTCTCCTCTCTGATAGCAAGCCCCAGCGGTGGTTTTGTGACTGCAGTGAGCACAGGAAACACCAAGCCCAAGAGTAAAAGCAGCCACAGTAACCACAAGATTACCTACTACATGGGTTACTGGGCCATACTGACTCGGACAGCATCACATCTGACTATGACGCAGAGCTGGGAGCTGACTAGCACATTAGGCAGTTAGAAAAAAGAAGGCAGCTATTACTTCATCTAGAGGAAGCGGAGATTCTGTGACTGAGTTCTTACTTAGGAAGCCACACTTGCTCCAGCATTACACCTCCTTCCAGAGCCTCTTAAAAACTGTTGTTAAGAATTCGTTTTAGACAGGGCCTTGCTATGTAGCCTAGCTGGCCTTGAACTTATGATTATCCTGTCTCTGCCTCCTGATTATAGTGCCATGGCAGCATATCCAGGTAGGTCTCCTTCCCAACCTGTCTGTTTACAAACCGCCCTAGCTCCTCTGAGAAAGCCTGCAGTCCATCATATCCTGTTCTGGTTTTTATGATCCTGTGGGGGTTCGATGCCCCAGTCAGTGTAGGGGAATGCCAGGGTGGGAAGGCAGGAGTGGGGGGGGAGCACCCTCATAGAGGCAAGGGATGGGAGATGGGATGGGGGTTTCCGGAAGGGAGACCTGAAAAGGGGATAACATTTGAAATATAAATAAAGAAAATATCCAATAAAAGAAATTTATAGAGTATATGTATATTGCAAAAATGAAATCAATAATGTAGACCCTTTCCTATATGGAAAAGTTGTATGGGGGGCAGCTACTTGATTCTAAGCCATTCCCTGTATGGATGGCCCTAATCTCCCCCCCAAACCCCACCCCCACCCCCGTGAGCTTATTTGAAACTACTGACACTCAAATGAACAGATGTTCCTGGTGTCCCCAGAACCTGGCTGTCAGAAAAGCTTCTCTCTGTGGAGGGAGGTCCAGGCAGCTTTAAACTCTAGCAAATGGAGAATTAGCCAGTGCTGGGGTTGTGGGGTCCTTTAATCTGTTAAGATTGGAGAGCTTTTTTTTAGATTTGTTTTTTTATTTTGTGTGTATGAGTGTTTTGCCTGCATGTATTTCTGTGCACTGTGTGTGTGTCTGGTGTCCTTGGAGGTCAGAAGAGGGAATCAGATGCCCTGGAACTGGAGTTAGGGAGCTGCCTTGTAGGTGCTGGGAACTAAAGCTGGGTCCTCGGCGAGAGCAACAGGTGCCCCAGACTGCCCAACTAACTGTCCAGCTCTCTTCTGGGATTTTATTCTCATGTGTTACTTCATAACGTGTGTGTGTGTGTGTGTGTGTGTGTGTGTGTGTATGTATGTATGTGTGTGTGTACTTGTCTGTGAGGAATTTCAGTGTGTGTGCTGTGTTTTAATCATGCTCACTCCCCCTCAGCCTCCTCCAGAGTCCTGCCTGCCTCCCTCCCGTTTGGAAGTGGTTCCTGAGCTCTGTTGTGATTGTCGGCTGGAGGAAAGGGAGGAGAGAGGAATGGTGGCAGGATGTTTCCATGGAGCTTTTCACGTTCAGTTCCAGGGCATGTTTCTTATTTTGAGACTATATTATCTACATTAGAGGACCCGTTAAAATATGTGGTCTTTTCTTCAATGACAGAAACAGTAGATAGTGAAATAAAAACCTGGTGGCTCTTATCTACTGCCAGTTCAGGAAACCCAAACACGTGGGAGCGGTAGCCCAGTGTGTCTAGTGCACTGACAGTTGAGACTCCTTGGCATCCAAGAAGGGCATAGATCCCCGTTCCTCCCCTGCCTGGTGCCTGCCCTGGAGGACTTAAGGAATGGCTGTGGTCTCAGGTGTGGGTTTGGAATCTCTCTCTAGCCATCTTCATTAGTCAGCAGTCCAGGCCCTGTGCTTCTGTGGAAGTCTGAGACCAAAATTCAGTTTCCAGATCTGCAGCCATTGTTCACAAACAGCCCAAAACGAGACTGCAAACCTCACATCTTCCTGAATTACCTACGGAGCTTCTTATCCTCCTGCCTCGTACTGATAAACTCAGAGTGCCTGGGCATGGGAGGTGGGACCAGTCTTTGGGACACTGTGTTTTTGAGGTTACTGGGTGAGGCTCCCTGCACAGCACAGAGTCCTGTCAGGTTATCCAACTGCCTCCTTCCTTAGAGGCTGGCTCCGGCTGGGAGACTTCTACCCTTTTGGTTGCAATGGCTGATCACAAAGTAGGAACTCACACCCACTTGCAGAGACCTGGAACACACAGACTGTATGGTCTGTGAAAGCAGTGCACTGGATGCAGCTGTCTGAGCTTGGACTGATCACTGTGACCTGTGGATTGGCTCTGCACAGTTCAGTAGAGAGGCATGCGGCAGCCATCTCTAAAAGTGGTGTGTGTTGGTGCTGTGCACACCAAGGCTCTTCAGGACAAGAGTGTCATGGCACCTCTGCCACCGAGCACTTCCACCTTTTCCTTTTGTAAATGCTATCTCTGCTCCTGACGACACTTGCCTCTCTTTCCCTCTTTGAGGGCCCACTCCTCAAAGAACCCTCCCTGGCAAGCCCTGGGTGCTAGCACCCTATTCTCTATTCTTTGTTTCCACACCAACTTTGAAAGGTTCTGGGAGGCCTTCCCTTGGCTGCTCCTCCAGATGCAGGTCCTCCTCCTGTCTGACTTCTGAGTAGAGGTGCTCCTGCTGGCCCAGCAGCTCCCTGTCAGAATCTCTGTGCTCCCATCACATCCCTGTGGTGGCTGTCATTGCCAGCTGCACCTGTGCCAGGACACCCTCCCTCACCTAGTTTCCTTGGTGAGACTTTTCCATCAGCCTCCTTTTGGTTCCTGGCTTTCCTCATCCCATCAGTCATAGGCGGCAGGTTGGTCTTTGTCTCTCGTTTCTTTCCACCCTTCCCATCACCTCTGCATCTCTAGCCCCAGCTCAGATCATTGTGAACTTTCTTCCTTCTCAGCCACTAGGCCCTCTGGAAGATCTGGTCCTGACTGGAAATTGTCCTCATTTCTCAGCCTTCCGGTTTCCCATCGTTCTGTCACTCAAGTCCACACTTCTATCGTAATGGATTCCTCCGTCTCCCTCTCGTTTCCCTCCCTGACAGCTTCACCAAATTATGTCCTTCCTCCCCTGTGGCTTTTCTCAGCACAGCCATACTAGCCTGGTCTGCTGCCCTTGTCCCAGGAGCTCTGTGCGCTTGCCTGTCTGTGCAGGCCTGGAAGCCATCTGCCATCAACCTGGGTTAGACCTTCCTTAATACCAGTGGGTCAGCCGGATCCTGTCCAGTCATCATCTTCTCCAGAAAGAGTGTCCTCATGCCAGAACAGGAAGCAAATGGGTCTCTCGGAAACTTCTTACAATCTTTTTATTTTCTTGTACTTGTCCATGTGCACATGCACGGGCACGTGCATGCTGGTGTCTGTGGAGGCCAGAGGAGTGTTTTATTATTGCCTTCCATCATATCTTCTGAGTCATTGATAGTCTAAAGTAACTGGCCAGTGAGCTCTAAAGATCCAGCTGGATCCTTCCCCACCAAGCACGAGGGTTTCAGATGTGATAGGCACATGTCTCTCACTTGCTGCTGGACATCTAAACGTGAGTCCTTGTGCTTGGTTGGCAGGAATTTGTCAACTGAGCCGCCTTCTCGGCCTCCAGTTTTGAGAGTTTTTTTTTTTTAGATAGGGTCTCACTCTGTAGCCCAGGTTGGCCTGGAACTGTGTTACTTAGATCAGACTGGCATTGAGCTGGTAGCAATCCTCCTACCTCCGCCTTGTGAGTACTAGGCCTGTAGGCATGTGCTTCAATGCCCGGCCATACCCCTAAGTTCTTATCTCTTCTTCATGGCATGTCCATGTGAAGCCCTGTGCCACCAGTTTCCTCTCACACACTGGAATCTAGCTCCTCGGGGCTTGGGCTCCTCAGGGTAGGGCCTGGCCGAGTGGCTATGAAGGTTTAGCTCCTGCCCCTTTGCAGGTTGTTGACTATTCTGGGGTCAGGTCCTGGGGTGCTGGAGTGGTAGAGCATTTGCCTGGAGGGCATTGGGGCAGGGTTAGAGCTGCAAGCACCGAACGTACAAAATGGATATGTACTGCAAGTTCTTTGTCTGGCTAGTATTTCCCGTGCCTAAAGAAAGGCAGGGTGGTTTTCTGCTGGTGTGCTGTGCAAAAGGAGGGTCTTCACTAAGCCAGAGTTTAGTGCACTCTAGGGAGGTAATCGGGTAGTTGGTGAGGTAATTGGGTAGCAGGTGTGGAGAGCTGCTCTTGGGTCACAGGCCTTTCCCAGCTCCTCTTTCCCTACTTGTAAGAGGGATCAGCTGTGTCTGCCTCCTAACGCTGTGAACATTAGTGAATTTAAAGTGTGGTGTGGTGTTAGCCTGCATGCCTGCATACCTGCCTTCTCTCCTCACCCCCTCTCCTGTCCTCTCTTTTAATAGCCTCATAGAGTCTGGCTGGTCATAGGTCTTATCTTCCTACCTCTGCTTCCCAAGTCCTGAGATTACAGCAGTGTGCCACCATGCCTGGTTTAATGGTTTTAGCTAGTAGTAGCTTGCTGGTTGCCCCCTGCACAGGATGTTCTAGGGCAGACAGTCTGGGGGACTGACCCTTTGCTGGGAAATATTTCAGTAGCCCAGACCAGGCTGCTGAGAACCTACCCTGAAGCTGATGGATGCTCATGGCTGCCGGGATGGAAGAGGTGACAGAGGAAGAACAGTCTCAGGCAGGCTAGAGCCAGGAGAAGGGCAGCCACTCAGAGGTGTTTGTTCTGATGGAAGGAGCCACTCTGGGGATGCCTTCCCTTACAACTGCCCCCAGGGAGCTAGGCAAGGTGTTGGGACACAGGGTTTAGAGGAGAGGGAAGGACTAGCCTTCTGTGCAGTCAGAGCTGATGGCACTCCTTTTTCTCCCACAGGGGAAGGTGGAGGTGGAGGCTGGGAAGGAAGGCATGAAGTTTGAAGCAAGCGCTTTCTCATACTATGGTGTGATGGCCCTCACAGCCTCTCCAGGTGAGTGTTCCCGCCTCTTAGCACAGGACTCTGTCTCAGGAAGACACAGCCCTTCTCCCTCAGTTCCCTTGGTACCCAGCATGGTTCAGTTCTCATTGACACATATCTTAGAGATGGAAGCTGTACTCATCTTGGGTATACACCTTCCTAGGTCTCCACACACAGCAAACACAACTGTGCACACCAGGAGAGACAAGAATATTACAAGAGAGAGAGAAAGAGAGAGAGACAGACAGACACAGAGAGGACATCCTCCTCCTCCTCCTCTGGATCCCTGTACCCCAGAGGTCTCCCCTCCCTTCTTGAACTTTGTATGGACACAGGATGTGGTGGTGGGTTAAAGACTTTGTCTCCCTCCACCCAGGCTTGTGCTGCCATGGTCGTCTGTGTCCGTGTGGCTATGCTTCCTTCCCATGCCTGCTGTGTGCTTGCTGTCCCCCATCTGATCACTGAGCAATGCACTAAACCCACCTTAGGCTACGGTGATGGGGGAGTGAGCCGGCTGGTGATGCTGGTGTCACAGGAGGGGTGACTGCTGCTGCTCAGTGCACTCTTTCTAAATCAGTTCAAGACCCCAGCCTGTGGATGGGGTCCCCACACTCAAAAGTGTGTCTTTTCCATTCACCTCCCTGGAAGTACTCTCAGAGGCATAGCAGAAATGTGTTTCCATGGTGATTGTAAACCCAAAGGAAGCTGACCCTTAGATCCACAGGCTGTTTCCTGTTAGGGGCACCTGTGAAAGCTGCATGTCTTCTGGTGAGTGTGTGCACTGGGGTCTGCTGAGTTTCTAGTTTGCTTTAGAACTTTCTAGAAGTTTAGTGCTTCCAGAAGCCTTGTGTCTGTTACACTCCTGCCTGTCTTGGCAGTGTCACCTGGTCTCCACTCCAAAAGTCTGAGGCGTGCAAAGTAGCTCTTCTGGGGATTTTCCATTGCATCTTCCTGAGGATGAGGGAGTTTGCTGCGACTGTTTGTCTAGAGAGCTGGCTGCTTGTGGTGGCGGTTATGTCACGGGATTGAGCAAGTTCGCTGAGATTCTGAGGTCCCTGCAGGGGTGTCGGCACCCAACTTTGCTCCCAGTCCCTCTAGATCCCCAGGCTCCCTTGCTTGCCTTCACGGGCCGGGAGTAGGTCAGGCAGGTAAACGGAGGTGCTGTGGTGCCACCTGGTGGCCAAAATACAAAAGGCCACTCTGTACAAGGAAACCGTCACGAAGCCCAAAGCTAACCATAGTCCATCTTAAAAGGTTGTTAAACTGAACACTTTAACAGTGATGGGGACCTTCAGGCAAGTTTATCTTTGTCACATTTGCCTTCCTCTACTGTCCCACCCAGTAGTATGACGGGCATAAGGATGTAAGTTTTAGGAAGCTGTCAAATGCCTCACTCTCTGGTGCAGGTTTTGCTGTCCTGAGGGACATTGTCCCTGAGTGTGCACATGGGCCTGCTTGATCCCTCCTAGAAGGTCTTTGTTGTGAACTTGAAAGTGATATTCATTACTGCTTGGTGACACTGGAAGGGGTACCTTCGTAGGCACAGAAAGACCTGGGTCATAGCCCAGGATGCAGGCTGTGTGACACTGAGAAAAGGCCTATGGTGTCCCACAGAAACCAGGGGGACAGAATGGGGTACTTGTGTACACAGTGCATTGTGACCCTTAAAATATAAGGTAGAGGCAGGTGAATTGCTACAAGTTCAGGATCGGCGTAGTCTACTCTGAACTCTAAGCCAGCCAGTCTACGCCAGACCTTGTCTCAAGAGTCAAAAAACAGATAAAAAGAACAGAACCACAAGAAGAAATATGTCACAGGAAGGTATTATCATTGTGATGGTCCTGGGACTATGTGCCTCAGATTAGCCCCGGTTTACAGACCCCCATCGTTAAGGCAGCTCTGAAAACAAATGAGAATGGCACGTTTTGGCTGATCACTGGTTATTTAGATCTAAACACTAGCCTAGCTCATATTGAACCATAGTGTGAGGAAAATCTCACTCAGAAAAAGACAGCAAAAGGCTGGGAGTGACGTCCACACCACTAGTTCCAGCCCTCAAGAAGGAGGTGGGAGGACCAGGGGTTTAAGGATAGCCTGAGCTATGTAGTGAGTTTGAGGTTAACCCTAGACCACAAGAGACCTTTCAAACCAACCAAAAAACAAAAACAAAAGACAGCAAAGCCAACTCTTCATCAGGAAGCTCCCATCATTCAAAAGCTGACTCGGGTCTGGGGATCTGTGTGTTCATTGGGACAAACCATCAGTACAGTACATTGAAACCTGCCTGTGTCTGTTCAGGAGGAAATGGCATCAGCAGGGAAAGGTTCTTGTCACCAAGCCTGGCAACTTGAGTGTAATCCATAAGATGCACACATTGGAGAGAGAACAGACTCCCACACTTTGCCCTCTGTCCCCCACATGTGTGCTACGGCACATGCACACAAGTACATGTACACAAGTAAATGGAAAGTCAGCTTTCTACTAGGGAGACAGGCAGAGGGCTGCTGTAAGGTTAAGGCCAGCGTGACCTACATAGCAAGTTCCAAGCCAGCCAGGCTATATGTTGAGACCTTGTCTTGAAACAAAGTAGTAAAATAAAGCCCACAGTCCATGGGACATGTGGGAAGGCATGCCCTGTCCCTCACGGCCTACCCTTGGGGTTTTCCCCGTGGTGGGACTAGTCTCCCATCAGAGTAAGCAGAGCTGAGCCTAACCTTTGTCTGCCATTCTCAGGCAGTCTGCACATGGCATGCTACACATGTGCCTGTTTTGAAATATGCAATCATCCCAAGCAACTCAAAATATCAAGCCAAAATTATGAAACCAATAATACCAGTGAGTTGGGTAATCAGGGGCTTGCTAGGCTGCATGGGGAGTGAGCGCTGCAGTGCAGTGTGGGCCTATTCTTAGAGCCCCTACCAGCTGAGCCTCCAGTCTTACGTGGCTAATTGTGACTCAGACATTGAGAACACATTGAGAACAGCCTGTTTTGGAGCTGTGGACTTCAATCGGGTGTTGGGGGTTTAGGAACTTTCCAGAGAAGAACATAAGGATGCGGTTCTTCCCAGTGGCACACTGTTCTGGGAAGGTCATCTGTGTCCCTTCCTTTTCTGTAACAGCACATGGGCTTTGGCACTTCTGGGTGGAAGGCTCATGTTAGTGAGACAGTGTCCACTCCCGTCCCTGTGAGACAGTGTCCACTCCCGTCCCTTGGATGTGAAGGTCTGTTTCTGCCTTTCGATGAGGTCTCACCCTGTTTTTCTCCATTTTCCAGTTCCTTTGTCCCTGTCTCGCACCTTTGTTGTCAGCAGGACAGAGGTGTTAGCTGCGGGCTCTCCAGGTAACTCTGCATGCTTCCTTTCTCATAACCCGAGCCATTGATCCATTGCCTTGACCCTGGGGAAGCCTGGCCACCAGGGCTGCACACTGTGTTTCCACAGCCCTAAAACTCTGACTGCTGCCTAAGATGGCGCTGTCCAGGAAATCTAGCCACAGAGGGCTGCAAAGGAGCTCTGGGCCAGGACCCATGGTGACCAAGAATAGGGAAAGTCTCTGTGGTGACTGGCCTGTGCCTACTGCTCATCCCACCTCACAGGTCTGGACTTCCCAGGTCTGCCCAGAGTCTTACTCCATCTTCAGCATATTATGGGATGTGGAGTTTGCAGAGACCCAAGGGATTCGGAAGCCAAATCTGGACTGCTTCAGTTTCCCAAAGAAGCCATTTGGACAAAATCTCCAGAGAGCACGAAACTTTTCTTGGCAAATGAGAAAAAGCCCACACTCACCCTGATTTGGGGCTCTTTCCCCCTGTGAGCTGGCTGTGCATCTCTGCCCTCCTCGGGCAGATGGCCCTGCTGCTCTGGGTCTTACCTTTGTTTTGGAATCAGTGCTATGCGCATTCTTACAGCAGCTACTTACCTCCCTGCAGGGGAGCACGGCCTAACCCACCCAGCCACTACAAAGAAAATTTTTAATCTTTCTTTAATTAAATTGCTTAGCCTTAATCGAGCTTGTTGTAGTGCACACCTGTATCTCAGCACAGGATCTGAGGCAGGAGAGTTGAGAGCTAATACAAAATAATATAGGGAGATCCTGTCTCAAAGCAAGGTAGATTGTCGGACGGCTGTGTTGGGTAATGCAGCGCTCCTGCCTTGCCTTTCCCCCATACAGCTTGTAGGTTTGAATCTGACTGGTGGAATTTACATACACTCCAACTCCATTCCAGCTCCAAAGCGCTGGGACTCAGAGGAGCCAATGCTTATATTGAACGGAAATTAATTCATGTCTCCATAACTGCTGTCAGCCAGGCATGGTGGCCCACACCTCTCTTCTCTGTGTGTAGAAGGCTTAACTATGCAGATTGCTACATGTTCAAAACCAGCTTGGGCTGCATAGTGAATCTGAAGCCAGACTGGCTACAGTGTAAAACCCTGACTTCAAACCCTAACTAACATAGGGCTTCAGAGATGGTTCCCTTGCTGAAATGCTTGGCTGCTAGAGGAAGAAGACCTGGTCTCTAGCTCCAGAAGCCAAGCCTGGGAGGTGGAAACAGCAGGAAGCCTGGGCTCACAGGGCAGCCAGAGCCAAATCAGTGGGTTCCAGGTCCCAGGGAGCGACACTGTCTAAACAAAGTGGATAGCTCTTGAGGGACACCCAAGGTTGACCTCTGGCCTACACACATACACACGCCATACATGAATACATATGTGCGTGCGTGTGTGAGTGCGCGCGCACACACACACACGCATGCATGCACTTGCTCTTCAAGTTCGGCATGTCTGAGCATAAGATATTCATACAGCTATTTGACTCAGAGCAATGAACAGGATACACACTTGCATCCATGTGCGTCCACGTGCATCCGGGCACTTGCAGCTTTCTTTCGTTGTTTGCTCCTGTCTGCCGTTTGTTTGCAAAGTTGCAGGGACACTGAAGTTGGTGGCTCACAGCCCAGTCTGTCATCTGCATTTTACCCTCTCGAGCTCTTCACTATGCCTGCACCATCCCAACAGGGACAGCCCCCAGGCCGGCTGGCATTGCGTAACGATATCGGCCCCTTCCAGAAGGTGCCCATGGTTGCAAAGGGGGCCGGTTCATTACTTTGCCTGCTAGTTTGCAGTCAGAAGAAAGGATTCCTAGGTAGGATAGATAAAACAAACTGAAACAAAAAGCCAGAAAACCAAAGTAAACCAATACTGAGAGGGTTTGTTTGTCTGTTTGGTTTTTGAGGTAAGGTCTCAGCCCTGGCTGTCCTGGAACTCACTGTGTAGACTAGCAGCTCACCTCACAGGGCTCCACCTGCCTCTGCCTCCCGAGTGCTGGGATTAAAGGCATACACCAGCTCAAAAGGTTTTGATTTTGTTTTCTTGTTTTTGAGATGAGGTCTCTTGTAGCCCAGGCTGGCCTCAAACTTGAAATTGGTATATATCTGAAGATAACCTTGACCTCAGTGTCTTCTAGTCTCTGCCTCCCACGTGCTTGGATTATGGTTGAATGCCACCGAGCCCAGCTAAAATTGACGTCTCATTTATTACCGTCATAAAACATTGACATATAAATTTGATAGCAAAACATGAACACAGACTTAGGGGGAGCAGCTTGCTCCTGCCTCTACTCCGGGGGTCTGGGCCTCACTGCAGGTGAGTCTTCAGGGCTGCTGAACAGAGTTTGTGGTTTGTGGTGCATTTGGACCAATTTATAGTTAGAAATTTAGTTCTTTATCTCAAGGATTTTGAATAAAGGATGTGACTGATGGCCCCACTCACTGGAACACTCAAAGTACACAAGTATCAACTGTCAGGACTCAGCTGCTGTGTTTTGGAAATTGTATTAGGAAACTCTGTTCCTGGGGGCCCAGCCTGGATAACACTATAGAGGCTTCGAGAAATTCCTAGAATGAAAAGCAGCTGTGGATTAAGTCAAACCCAGTGCTGACCCTGTCAAGTCACAGCAGGGCCCAGTGCTTTCAGCAAGAGGCTAGGACCAGAATAAGGTACAACCCGAAAACAAGCACGCCGTGCTGAGTGAGCAAGCTCCTGCCTGCTGGTTTTGGTCACACTTGAGATTGAACACTGTGTGTTCTTCAGACTGCCATTCTGTGCAGGTCTTAGAATAGTGAGAAGAACTCAGGTCCCTGGTTACATCGGAGGAGTACCACCTGGAGAGAAACTTCCAGTGGCTTCTTGAGGAAACACACAGCTTTCATTGGAGAGTAGCAAACAACCACAGAACAGTGGAGACATCTCTGGCCGACAGACTGTCCTGCGTTGTCACGAGGCTCTCAGTCTCCTCCCTTTTTACAATCACTTTATATTAACTTTAAAAAGAATTAAACTTTTCTGCCTACTTTTTGTGAGCAAAAGTTGAGTGTGAATCTGTTGGAAATAGGTGGTGCAGTTGTCTCAAGGTTTGCTGCTTTCCTGTTGAGGAAAAGCACTAGCACTGGCCATGTGCCGTGAGCCCACTCTTTCACTTGGAGTTAAGGTTTTAATATTGCCCTTGAGATGCTGAGCAGTGTATTAAGGCCACAAGATGTGCTCTCAGCCAATCATGTCAGGCCTACAGCTCTGTAGAAGGAGTATGGGCAATGAATGGCTTCTCCAGACTGTGACTGACTGTGAGGACAGGCAAAACAAGGGGTCCAGCACATGCACACACACACACACCCATGCACATGCCCACACACAAACACATGGGTCCAGCCAAACAACCAGAAAGCAGTGTTCACTAACTGGGAGTCCAGAAGATTCCAGGGTCTGACCTCCACCTGGGTGTCTAGCCAAGAAGCAGTGAGCCTGCCTGGTACCTTGCCTTTAATACCTTGAAACCATAGAAGTAAACACTGTTTTAAAAATCTATGTGGACAGCATCCAAGAGAGAGAAATAGGTAGATGGATCTCTATGAGTTCTGGGTTAGCCTGGTCTACATAGTGAATTTCAGGCCAGCCTGGTCTACGTAGTAAGTTCTAGGACAGTCAGGGCTACATAGTGAGAGACTTATCTCAACAACCACAAAAACATACATACATATTTCATAGAAAAGATAGCTTTATATTGACTACTCTTTCTTAATAACATTTTCAAAATGTCTTCATATAACTAAACAAACCCCTCAATTTTTCATTTTACTTTCATAATATATGTTTAAAATAATACGTTGGTTTGACTTTTATACTATATTTTAGTAAGGATATCTTGTTCTTTACATTGGAAGTTTTGTTTGTAGATCTATAAAAGCATGAAGTCCTTTCAGAAAAATATTAAATATATTAAACAAAAATACTGTGGAAACATGTAACTTGTGGTTGACATGTAGAGGTACACAGCCACAAATAAAAAGAGAGGTCTGTCATCATAGGTCACGCCATGGTGGAAAGGCCTGATCCAGGAGCACGGTGGTGCGGTCTGAGAGAGGCTAACAGGAGAAAGCAGAATGTGTCATCGGGGCACATCTATCCAGCACTCACTGGGTGTGATGCTGTGTCCAACGCTGTATCTTCCGTGAGCTGGGTACCACTGTGCAGTTTACAGAAAGTATGCTGCAGCAAATATTAAAAAGAATGGCATTTTCCCGGTGCTACTCTCTGCCTCTGCAGTCTTGCCAGCCAGTTCATTAAGTTCCCACTTGTGGGTCACTACCACACCAGTCCCATGCTTCAAACCCCCCACGGCCTTTGTGGTGCACATCAGGCAAACCCACTTTGCCCCCATACCTTTCTCTCTTGAACCCAGAGGAGCCACCTTGTGAAGGAAAACATAACACAAACTTAGTTCAGAAACAACGAAGACGGTAACTCAATTATAGGGCACAACAACTAAAATCCTAATCTTGTAAGCCTAATTAAATCTAAATCTTCCAGTGGCTGGCAGACACTAGTAACTACACCTTGTCCTCACACTATCCCCAGTCCAAAAAGACCCTCTCTCTCTCTCCTCTTCCTCTCTTCCCCTATCCAACCTGGAAGTCCCTCCTTCTCACCCAGTGATTGGCTCCTTTATTCATTAGGGGATTGGTTCACAAGAAGTCACCTGAGTACATGACACACTCTTTGTCCACAGCCCCTCTCTAGAGAGCGGAATTAGCATCAAAACACAAACTGCACCAGGCCCATCCACAATGAAAGGACTCAGAAGCTGAGCATAGTTAGGTCATCTGTTCAAAGCAACAGGTGGCAGGGACAGTAGGGGGCACTGTTGAGTCAGATGCTGACTCGTGGGAAGCCAGCTCTGTGAGCTGACAGAGCTGCTAGAAGAGGAAGATGTGGCCTGGGAGTCCTAAGAGGAGTTCCCAGGTAGACACGGTGGTGTGGGTGGGGCCGAGAGTCTCAGTACCACTGTGACGGGAAAGCTTCAGGGATGCAGTACTGCGGGTTCTTCAGGCTGCTTTCAAGTTGCTCAGTGGCTCTGCATAAGCCTGTCACTTGAAGTAGGAGGTAGACTATGGCCACAGTGAGACTTTGATGTCGGACAGCAAGACCTGCCACGGGCAGGCTCTTTTCTGAGGGCATCTGCTCCTGTGGCATTCTGCAGTTCAGAACCCATCTAATGTGTGCAGATGGCTGAAACGGTGGGGTGAAGAGGCTTCCCCAGTGAGAACATAGGCTTTAATTAGTATTTGGTTGGTTGGTTGGTTTGGTTTTTTGAGACAGGGTTTCTCTGTGTAGCCCTGGCTGTCCTGGAACTCACTCTGTAGACCAGGCTGGCCTCAAACTTAGAAATCCACACACCTCTGCCTCTTGAGTGCTGGGATCAATAGGAGAGTGCCACCACACCCAACTGGTATTTTATCTTTAACACAATTCATCGTTAAAGCTACAAGGAATAGGGGGCTGGAGAGATGGCTCGGGGGTTCAGAGAACTTTGTTGCTTTTCCAGAGAGATTCAGGTTCAATTCTTAGAGCCATAGAGCAGCTAAAAACTCCAGTTCCAGGGGTTCCAGCATTCTTCTGTACTCCATGGGCACTCGATGTAATCCATACACTGCAGGCGAAAGAGTCACACATGTTTTTAAAAGCTATGAGGAATGTTCTTTGACAGAAAGAGCACGTGGATTCTTCTGTACTTCTCCCTTCAGTTTTTCTGAACATTTGCTCCAAGGAGCTCACTGCAGAAACCCGTATCACCAAGACACTGAGGCAGGCCTCTCAAGGGTTTCCTGTCACCTAGCATGATGGCATATTGAGCTGGCTGATGGCCTAAGAGGCAGAGGAGACAGAGGGAGCTTGATAATTTCTTTTGGCTCCTGTAAAGACTATTGCAGAGCCTTTTATGGTCCTTGTTAGTATAGGGTAGCGTCCGTGTACTGGGCTTTTCTACAGAGCTTTGGCCTTTATACCCTGGTCTGTCACAGCTGAGCTGCACGTTCCTGCAGGAGAGACACGTGGGTGCTTGCGTGGTTGCTTTTTATTTCGAGCAAGTGTTCTCCAGTGGCCATACCTACAGTGTTTTAAAGGCTGGTCTTTCTCCCTTTTGTAGGTGAAAATAAGTCACCTCCTCGCCCCTGTGGTCTGAATCACTCAGACTCTCTCAGTCGGAGCGACCGGATTGACGCTATGACACCAACCCTGGGGAGCAGCAACAACCAGCTCAGTTCTTCATTCCTTCAAGTCTACATCCCTGATTACTCAGTCCGAGCCCTCTCCGACCTACAGTTCGTCAAGGTGAGTGGGGAGGGCCGCGTGGCTGAACCTGACAGGTATAGCCACTTCCCTGACAGCTGCCTCTTCGCTGTCAAAACGTCCCACCTCCCTCTCCCTGGCCCAGCACATGTTGAGAAACACACTGACCTCGGTTCCATCCCATGAGCACCCAAAGCAAACGTGGCCATGGCAGGGAACAGGAGGAGGCTCTGACAGAGCCCTTCTCGGTTCTCTGGAGCCCGTGGGTGGTGACTCCCTTGCTTGGCCTGGAAAGCATTGAGGTTGTCTCTGCCCTGGACACAGGGTCTTTCCTTAGCCTGAATTAGACATCTTTCGGAGACCCGAGCGGCTTTAGCTGATGGAAGCTGATCTCTGTTTTTCTTGTCTCTGAATGTAAGAGGCAAGATGTATCGATGGGTCAAGTGGTGAGAGCTGACTGGATCTCTGGAATCACCGTGAACTTCAGAGTGGCTCAGTCTCCGCCCAGGGATTGTTTTCTCTGGGCCTTTTGGGGTGTTCGGTGTGTGATGCAGTGTTAAGAGACAAGAGAACCTAAAAATAAGTTCTCTCGGTTTGTTTTCTGTGTCCTCTTCTGGCCCCAGATCTCCAGACAGCAATACCAAAATGCCTTGATGGCGTCCCGGATGGACAAAACGCCTCAGTCTTCAGACAGTGAAAACACTAAAATTGAATTGACTCTTACGGAGCTACATGACGGCTTGCCAGACGAGACAGCCAACTTGCTCAATGAACAGAACTGTGTGTCACACAACAAGGCCAACCACAGCCTGCACAGTGAAGGCGCCATCTAGGGCCCCTCGGGCCCCCTTGTTCGGCCGTCCTGAACTCGGTCTGACCGTGACTTCCACTAGTGTGAGCTTGTCTGCCATGCTGCGTCCTACAGCCTTGAGACCAAAGACTTTGCCCCTTTCCCTGGAAGCCTCAGAGGACGGCTTGGGGAGGGATGGAAACTGGACACGTGACATCCACAGCTGGGGCATGGCTTTCAAGAATTCGGAGACAAACTTTTTCTGCCCAAATAGAATCATGTTTATTTTTTCAGAACCTTTTATCGTTTCTTTCATCCCTCAATTTGCATGAATTTAAAAATTGTTACATTTATTTTTTTTCCAAGAGATCATGTTTTTTGTTTTTAAGTGTCTTTTGCAGAGTTTGAGGTTGGTCTTCCTGAGCTAACTCTGCTGTAGCCCCACAATGTGACCCTAACAGGATGGACTTGCCCCTTTAGCGGCCTTCCTCCACTGTCCCCAGGAGGGACCTTTCCTCTGTGCCCAGTGGGTGTCGCTGTCGAACTTGACGGATGAATGAAGAAAAATCATGTCACTGCAGAACGTGCCAATCTGTCGTCCCTGTGGGTGTCGGCAGAAGCTGCAGGTGCCCTCTCTGCACGTAGTGTCCTTTTGAAAATATGATGTCTAACCACGCCCCTTTCCCTCAGGAAGGGTTAACATTTGCTTGGGAATGTGATCCTGCTCCCAGCCTAAGGAATTTCTATCACCAAAATGAATGTTAATGAATTTTAAACCTATGGTTTATCATTGGTAGGAGGCAATGACTTCATCCCCCATTCCTGTAACCTTGGGTGGTCTGGGACATAACTAGCCCCCCACTCCCGCTTTCCCACCCCTCACTCTTGCTAACCCAAGCTGCTGCTACAGGTGCCAAATGGCAAGCTTCCATGGGGCTTCTTAATGAGCGTGTGGTGTGGCAGTGGCTACGGGACCCTGCTGGGATTTGTGTAATGTCTGAATGGGGCGGGGTGGGGCGGGAGGTGGGCAGTGTACGTAGGCATCTCTAGACCCATGTTTTTAATGGAATACCCTTCCTTCCGTAGAGCCAAGCGCCCCTCCCATGTTGTCCCTGGGCTGTGGGGCTCAGAAGTGGCAGTGGCCCTGCTCAAAGGTGTCTCCTGCTTCAGATGTGGCCAACGCCAGAAAGCTACCCATACAGCCAGAGCCAGTTTGACCCCGAATGGATTCAGAAACCAAATGTGTGTTGTGACCATTTTGTGTGTGTCTCCGTCTTACTTTAATACCAAATTTACCATGTGTTGTGAAGTTCACGCTGGCAGGCACTGCTTGGGTGGCGTAAGTGGTTCCTTACTTGCATTTGCTGGCCATGCTCATACACTAAATGAACTCCTGGCCAGTGTTCAGTGGGCTTCTCATTACCCAGGTCACTGCTGGAAAAGAGAGCCTTTGTGTGCCTGGGCTTCCTGCACAGGGAATCCTCAGGCTCAGCGTCAGCCTCCTCCTTCAGGTAGGAGGTCTGCTAACCCCAGGTTGGACTCCAGGAGGGTAACATGTTGGGTTGATCTCTTGATGAATAGCTGATGACTGAAAACCCCTCTCTGTGTGTGTGTGTGTGTGTGTGTGTGTGTGTTGAGAGAGGCTGGCACACTTAGTGGAGGGTCATTGAGAGTGGCCTTTAAAGGAGCTGAGTAACCTGCTACTGACACCTTGGGATGAAGTTCGTACCCTGGGGAACCCACACTGTGAGTATCCCCTTTTCAGACACATCCAGGTGAAAAAAAATCAGCTTAATAATGAGCATAATGCGTGCAGATGTGAGCTCCCTGAGTGTGGCCAGGGCAGGGCCTCTCCACCTCCAAGCTTCTAGCTGCCCCTCCCTGAGGCCTGAGGAGCCAGGAGCCCAGCTGAGGCTTTCTGGTGGTAAGTGTTCTCCGTCAGCCTCTCAGGCATGGTGCACAGCTGCCTCAGACAGCCTTGCTGCTGGAAGAGAAGCCCGTTCATCCTCTCTCCTTACTGTTCATGGATCCCAGAGGTGCAGGACTCTAGGGAGCTGGGACAGCATCGGTCGCCGCCCGCTGTGGCAGCTAACTGTAGAGCTCTCTAACAAAGACGCCAAGGAAGGGGCTCTCAAAGATGGAGGCTGTGGCCTGCCTGCCAGCTTCTTGTTCATTTCCCATTAATGAACTAATTAATTACCTTTGACTAGTTACTTCTATAATAACCAGGAATTCAGAATTGTTCCTTTTTCCTCAAAGGTGGCCTGCCCTGGGGAGAAGTCTCAGTCTTCAAACAGGGCTTGCATCTGAGTGAACACTGTTTCCAAGTCTCCCCCTCCCAAGCCGACTCCTGAGACAACTGAAGGAAACACTGGCTCTTTTGCCCCTCTGAGTGGATCTTGGCTAGGGATGGCACATACCATCTCTGGCCTCACCCCATGGGCTTCCCAGCCAAGAGAGACTGTCGAGTAGTAGAGTGGCCATGTACAGTGGCTCCTTCCTTGAAGCTCTGGCCCGTAAAACCCTCCTGGGCTGCTGTATGTGCAAACATGGAGGGGAGAGGTCAGGCAAGACAGACTCAGGCCTCGTGAGTTCTGGTTGCTATGGGCCTGCCCATTTCTCTGCTGCCAGCCAGAGGGCAGGACAGCACCTAGAACTGGATGCCGTGTGTGCAGACATTGCTGGGACACTGTCACTGTTAATGAGGGCCCTTCATTCACTACCCTTTGTCCATAAGGCAAGTCCAAACTCTAATAGTCTTAGGAAAACAGAATCCTGACATTCATACGTGAGTATTGGGGTGCTAGTCAACTAGCTTAAACTTTGGTTCCTGATTTGAAGGTGCCACCTGTTTCATACTCTCTGTGGGCATAGTTGACCTCACGTGAAGGGAGCTGAGCCACAAACCACTTTCTCATGTTATTGCAAGAAACGTGTGCAAGTGTTCAGTGCAGAACTTCACACTGATACGGAACACTAACTGTGAAAAGTCACCTTGTCATCCCCAGTTCTGTACAGCTAAAGGAACAGCTTTTCCAAATCTAGGAAAACATGGCAGCTCCAAACACATTAGAAAATGGAGCAACAGGATTTTGAGTTACGCAGGGACCATGAACTTCAGCCTGCAGGTTATTTGGGGTTAAGGAGCAAAACCAAGTGGGTGCTGGGTGACTGTCCTGGCTAGTGAAAACACACAAGCACCTCTGTCCTACCCCGAAGGCTGCCAGTCACTATGCCTGGACCCAGGGGATGAGGTCTCCCAGGGATGAACCCAAGCAGGTTAACTCTCTGGACTGGTGCAATGTACACATCTTGTCTCCTGGAGCAAGCTGAGAGGGTTGGCTTCTTCGGACACCATGTAGTCTAACCCCCTGTGGCTTGGCAGGACTCCTCTCTGCTTTTCTTGTGAAGGGCTTCATGGCTGTTTAGCTACTTAGGTACCAGTGTGCCCTTTTTCTGAGGGACCAGGCTCTTTCCTGGGCTATGTTTGTTTCCATTCTGGGCCATAGGCTTGTGGTGCTTCTGTCCAACAAGGACAACTGGGTAAGTTGTAGGCTAGCCCAGAATTAGGAATTTTGAGGTGAATATGGAAGTGATTGTGGGGATATTTGGAAGTTTTTCCCATACAAATTCATCAGTGAGGAACCTACTCAGTGGACTGGAATACCTCAGGGCCATTTACTTCCGTGTCTGAGTGACTGGTGGGAAAGATGATCGTGTTGAGGTTCATTTGCTTCTGGTTGAAGGACGAGCAGTCTCCGAGGCTGAGCTGCTGTTATTGTCTTGGGCCTGGGATGAGCAAGCCTTCCTCTGGCACCTGTGCACCCTCCTCCTGGAATCAATGCTAACTTACTGGTTTTCCTTCTGGAGAGTCCCCACTTGTCCTGCATCCCCATGGCCACCACAGTCAGGCAGAGGGAGCAATCCATACACAGCAGCTAAAGTGAGCATCTGGAGACCTTTGTTTCTTAGTTCCCTGTGGCTGACATAGCTCATGCAACCTTTTTATACCAGAGCCATTGAGACATCTCAACTGCAGTTGTTTGAAGTGCTTTTTGATGGGGAATGCCAGGCAGTACTTGAAGCAATATCAAAATGGCGAAAGTCGGTTCTAGGAGTTTGTATGTATACAGCTAGATGGTAGGAAAGGTGTGGGTCAACATTCTCAGATGACGACGTATCATGGTACTGTCTAGCTGCACTTAGAAGGGCATGTTCTGATGTTGTTCACATCTGATCCACGCAGATTTTCTTCTGGGGCTGGATTCTCCCAGAGTTGCCCTAAAGAGAATTAACAAAAGGGCCTGACAGATTTGAGCACCTGCTCAGAGACTTGGGTTTCTTACAAACAGCTAGGGTCTCAGACCTCTAGAACCAAGGGAAATGAAGACTCATTCCCTAGAGAGCCCCCGCCTAGCTTCTGATTCACTACTACCCATGTCAGGTCTACTGTGAAGTCTCAACCTATTGACTTTTCTTGTTTTGCGGTCCTTTAAATCCACAAATGTATATGCTTTATTTTATATTATTTATTATGTACATATGTCTCTACCGTTAGTATATCATGTGACTAAGACACTGTTTTGAAGCCCCTCATCCATTGAGCCCAGGGTTCTGTTGTCCCTTATTGGGTGAGAGGGTGGTGGTATTTTTTGTTTAAAAGGAAAAAACAAACCATATTGCTGCTCTGACACCAGCTTCTTCATTGCCTTATCCCACCCATTCCTGATGGGCAGTTTGGGAGGTGGTGGAGGTAGAGCCTCTTCTCATGTCTCCATGAGTTGCTGCAGAAGTGGGTTTTTGGTGGTTGGTCTCTTCCCTATGCAGTAGTAGCATATGGCTGAGACCAGAGCCTCCTTCCTCATCTACACCCGAGCCAGATCACCTTCCTGGTCCCCAAATGATGGCCTCTACTGCTTGCCTTGCAGAATCTATCTGCAATGGAAGCTGCCCATCTAGGTTCTGAATATGCCTCTTCTTGGTGTTATGGCCCAGTTACCAACATTTCCTTGGGCCTAAAGCAAGCCCTGCTTTGTCTGACTTCTTCCCTCTGCAGCTGTACCCACTGGATCATGGCGTACACTTCATGCATTTGAGCAGTGGCATCAACAGAAAGCTAAACACAGGTCACATGCACAGACTTCACAAGCTGTCATAACAAATGCGTTTATAATTCAAATGTTGTAGATTTACAATACCTATTTATTTGTACCAATTTATTTGTAAATCTTGTGATTGTTTTTAAAAGGTTTTGTTTATTTCTATTTAGATAAATGATTTTCTGTTCACACTTTTAGCAGCTGTGTGTTCCCTCTTTCCTCTGTGTAACACCAACCATTTTGTTTCCTTCGGCCCTGCCCCCTGCCGGATGACATGGCTTCACTGGTGGGAAAGCTTGATCACATCAGGGCACCTCCTCTGGACAGACACTGCAAAGTCTCATGTCCACAGAAATGCAAGTTGAGTACCTCCAGATCACAGCCTAGTACAGCTGATTCTGGGGATGTTCTTCCAAAGAATGAGGTTTGCCCCCACCAGCTCTTCCCTAGAAAAAAGTAGAAGTATCCATTGGACTTGCCTAGTGACACACAGCAGCTAGGCAGATGGAAAAACTAGATTTTCCTTGGCAGTAACAAAGGCTTCTTTGTAGAAGCTTCTTCTCAGTTGGCTCTTGAAGATGAAAACTGGCTATTTAGGTCCTCCAAACCAGTGAGGAAAGTCAGTTCATGGGTGAGTCACCCTCAAGTGACACAAGGCCACAGGTATGGGAGGCATA